ACGAGCTTAATATCTTTATAGTGTGTTATTTTGACGATTGAGGTCTCGTTTAAGGTGGAATTGTTCGGAAAACTACTATAACGATTGTATAATCGTTTTTTCAATAAAAAACGATTGTACAATCGTTATAGTAAATTTCCGGAAGAAAACGTGATTTTTTTCAGATTTTTATATCGAATTATACAATTTATTATATTATATATTATATTGTATGTTATATTATACTATATATCAGATTTTTGTATACTATATATATTATATTATATATTATATCCTATACTATATATTATATTGTATACTATATATTATATTATATATTATATCCTATATTATATATTATATATTATAACATATGTTATATTATATCATATGTTATATTATATACTATGTATTATATTATATATTATATCCTATACTATATATTATATTGTATGTTATATTATAACTATATATGTTATAATATCCTATACTATATATTATATTGTATACTATATATTATATTATATATTATATCCTATATTATATATTATATATTATAACATATGTTATATTATATCATATGTTATATTATATACTATGTATTATATTATATATTATATCCTATACTATATATTATATTGTATGTTATATTATAACTATATATGTTATATTATCATATACTATATATTATATTGTATACTATATATTATATTATATATTATATCCTATATTATATATTATATATTATAACATATGTTATATTATATCATATGTTATATTATATACTATGTATTATATTATATATTATATCCTATAGTAGATATTATATTGTATGTTATATTATAACTATATATGTTATATTATCATATACTATATATTATATTGTATACTACATATTATATTATATATTATATCCTATATTATATATTATTTTGTATATTATATATTATAACATATGTTATATTATATCATATGTTATATTATATACTATGTATTATATTATATATTATATCCTATACTATATATTGTATTATATGTTATAACATAATATAACATATGTTATAACATATATGTTATAACAATAGATGTTGTATGTTACAATAGACTTTGACTTCAATTGTACGAATTTCACTTAAAGTGTACGAATTTGACTTTGATTGTACGAATTTGACTTTAATTGTACGAATTTGACTTCGATTACACTATAATTGACCGACAATGTACTAATTTGACTTCAATTACACTATAATTGGCCAAGAATGTACTAATTTGACTTCAATTGTACTAATTTGACCTCAATTGTACTAATTCGAGTTTGATTACACTATAATTGACCTCAATTGTATTAATTTGACTTCAATTAGACTAATTCGAGTTCGATTACAATATAATTGTCCGAGATTGTACTAATTGGATCTCAATTGGACTAATTCGAGTTCGATTACAATATAATTGTCCGAGATTGTACTAATTGGACCTCAATTGTACTAATTCGAGTTCGATTACACTATAATTGACCGAGATTGTACTAATTTGACTTCAATTGTACTAATTTGACTTCAATTACACTATAATTGACCGAGAATGTACTAATTTGACTTTGATTACATTATAATTGATCGAGAATGTACTAATTTGACTTCAAATGCACTAATTTGACTTCAATTGTATTAATTTGACTTCAATTGTACTAATTGGACTTCAATTGTACTAATTCGAGTTCGATTACAATATAATTGACCAAGATTGTCCAATTGAAGTCAAATTAGTACAATTTAAGTCAAATTAGTATAATTGAAGTCAATTATAGTGTAATCGAACTCGAATTAGTCCAATTGAGGTCCAATTAGTATAATCCCGGACAATTCTATTGTAATCGAACTCGAATTAGTCCAACTGAAGTCAAATTAGTACAATCTTGGTCAATTGTAGTTTAATCAAACTCGAATTAGTCCAATTGAAGTCAAATTAGTACAATTGAAGTCAAATAGGTACATTCTCGGTCAATTATAGTGTAATCGAACTCGAATTAGTCCAATTCGGACTAATTCGAGTTCGATTACACTATAATTGACTTCAATTGTACTAATTTGACTTCAATCGAACTAATTCGAGTTCGATTAAACTATAATTGACTTAAATTGTACTAATTTGACTTCAATTATACTATTTTGACTTTAATTTGACTAATTCGAGTTCGATTACACTGTAATTGACCGAGATTGTACTAATTTGACTTCAATTGTACTAATTCGAGTTCAATTGGACTAATTTGAAATTTGACTTCAATTGTACTAATTCGAGTTCAATTGGACTAATTTGAGTTCAATTGTACTGATTTGACTCCAATTGGACTAATTCGAGTTCGATTACACTATAATTGACCGAGATTGTACTAATTTGACTTCCATTGGACTAATTCGAGTTCGATTACACTATAATTGACCGAGATTGTACTATTTTGACTTCAATTGGGCTAATTCGAGTTCAATTACACTGTAATTGATTGAGATTGTACTAATTGGATCTCAATTGGACTAATTCGAGTTCGATTAGAATATAATTACAAGAGATTGTACTAATTTGACTTCAATTGGACTAATTCGAGTTATAAATTAAATCTATTTTTATTTTTAAATTCGACTTTTTATTTAAAAAAAATTAAATAAAAAATAAAATACAAAATAAATGGATTTTGAAACAGATTTTGTAAACGGATTTTTTTAAAAAAATTATTTTTTTATACAAAGAATTTATATAAAAAATAATTTTTTATACAAAAAAAAATTAAATAAAAAATAGTTTTTTTAAAAAAATTATTTTTTTATACCAAAAAATTATTTAAAAAATAATTTTTTTATTAAAAAATTAATTTTTATACAAAAAAATTTAAATAAAAAATATTTTTTTTTTATTAAAAGCGGATTTTGAAAAATCCATTTTATAAATTAGTTTTATAAAAAATATTTTTTTATTATTTTATTAAAAAAATAAAATTAAAAGAAAAACGAAGGTGCCAAGACGTCGCGACCGCGACATGGAAGTTTTAATTTTTTTTTTAAATAACGAGTGTAGATTCGTTATACCATACAAAATAACGATTGTACAATCGTTATTTTGAAACGACTGTATGTCGCGGTAGCGACATGTGTCGCGGGCGCGACACTCGGCCTTGTTCTTGGTTGGACAGAAAATGTTGCTAGGACGTCGCGGCTGCGACGAACGTCGCGCCAGCGACAAGAAAGTTTTATTTTTTTTCAAAATAACAAATGTACATTCGTTATTTCATAAAAAATAACGACTGTACAATCGTTATATTGAAACAACTGTATGTCGCGGTAGCGACATGTGTCGCGGGCGCGACACTGGGTCCTGTTCTTGGTCGGACAGAGAATGTTGTTAGGATGTCGCGGCTGCGACGAACGTCGCGCCAGCGACAAGCAAGTTTTATTTTTTTTTCAAAATAACGAATGTACATTCGTTATTTCATAAAAAATAACGACTATACAATCGTTATATTGAAACAACTGTATGTCACGGTAGCGACATGTGTCGCGGGCGCGACACTAGGCCCTGTTCTTGGTCGGACAGAGAATGTTGCCAGGACGTCGCGGCTGCGACGGACATCGCGCCGGCGACAAGCAAGTTTCATTTTTTTTTTCCAAAATAACGATTGTACATTCGTTTTTTCAATACTATAACGAATGGATAATCGTTATAGTTGTTTTTCGGGAACAAAGCGCATTTTCTTTATGTTTTTTTCGATCGAATTACTTGATTACTCACGTATATTCATGCTACGTGACATTGGAACGATAGTTTTAAGGTGTTGGAACAAAATTATTATTATTTTTTTTAAATAACAACACTTGTTCTTTATTTTTTGTGTTAAAATGGTTAGATCATGTAAAATGTTTGTGAATTCGTAATTTTACATAAAAAAATGACTCCCCGGAATTAAATCAAGTAACATTTCATTGATGTTAATCAAAAGTAAAAAAAAAAAAAACTGCCAGGCCGCCGCGGGCGCGACGGGTGTCGCGGGAGCGACACTTACGAGGACAGAACCAGTGCTAGGACGTCGCGGGCGCGACTCATGTTGCGAGCGCGACAATTACGGGGAAAACCGCTGCCAGGAAGTCGCGGGCGCGACGCGTGTCGCGAGCGCGACACTTAAGGGGACAGAACCACTCCCAGGACGTCGCTGGCGCGCCAAAGGGTCGCGGGCGCGACACCAATTATTTTTTTTAACATGAATAAAAGGTTCCGCGCTTTAATTCCGGAACATTTGAACTTAAAAATGACCAAAATGAGACCCATAACGAGTTTAACATCTTCATAATGTGTTATTTGACGAGTGCACGGTCGGTTAAGGTGCAATTGTTACGAAAAACAATAATAACGAGTATACATTCGTGATTTCAATGGAAAAACGAATGTACAGTCGTTATAATTGTTATTCGTCCAAAACGCGCTTTATGTATGATTTTTTTTTCGAGTTACTTGATAAAGATTGTATGTTAATGTTACATGTCATTGGAAAAATAGTTTGAAGGTGTTAGAGCGTCGAAACAAATGCACATTAACCGACCGTGAACAGATAAATGGGCCTGTTTCTTCTCGGACAGATAACTTGGCAGGATGTCGCCGCCGCGACGGACGTTGCTCCCGCGATAGTGAGGTTTTTTTTAATTATAACGTTGTACAATCGTGAAGGTCGAGAGGTAGAAGCAAAAAAGAGAGCGAAGGTCGAGAGAGAGAGAGAGATGTCGCGAGAGAGGAGGGGATTGAGAGAATGTGGGCGTCGAGTTTTTTTTTCAGTTGGAAGAAGACAAATAGAACTGAGGGCGAGGTCGTCGAAGAAGAAGAAAGCGAGTGAGGGCGAAATTGAAGAAGGAAGAAGAAAGTGAAGCAGAAGAAGGACGAAGAAGAAAGCCACAGAGAGAGAGAGCCAGGGAGCCTGCGAAAGTGATGAAGAAGAAATTGAAGGTAGATTAAATTTTGTGTTAAGGGTATATTTGTAAATGACTATTTAATCTGATTACTTATTAAGTTTTATTGTAAAACTTCAGTCAAGGGTCATTTTAACATTTTGTATAAGTTTTATTGTAAAACTTCAGTCAAGGGTCATTTTAACATTTTGTATAGTAGAAAGGGTTACTTGGAACAATTCCCACGCCCTAAGATAGAGGCAGATTTCTGGTTCTCGATAATTACCAGCTGCGTCGCCGGCTAATCACAGCACCTTGGCTTGTTCAACATTATATGCCATCATGGTATGCTTTGTTTGAATTTGATTTTTCCTTCTTCCATGTATGGATTTTTTCTCCGTTGTATTAATTTATGGAATTAGTTGAAAATTTGAAATCTTCTGGATTCTTGAGCGGTTTGTTTGTGACCTGGATCGGTGAATTCGAATCCCTTTTTTCTTTTTTCTATTGTAGATGAGTGGTGGTTTTCTGGGGTTTTCAGTTTTTTGTCGTGGGTGAAATCTGAAATTTGGGCAAAGGGTTTTGGTCCCTGATCTGATTGTTTGTGCGTTTATTTATTTGATTGTTTTCATTGAGCTAAGTTGCAAGTCTGGTGTTTGAGTGATTATCATTTTGTTGACGTTTCGTGGAGATCAGCAGTCTGGATCTGTATGGGCTAGTGTGAGCTTAGTTGTGAAGGCTGTAATTTTCTGGCACAAGAAAGAAAATCTTGTGGAGCTAGTTTCTGTTGTACAGGGTTTAGTTTAATTGTAAAATGTGAATAATGACTTCAATGCAAGGGTGGAAAATTTTGAGGATTCCTTTGGCCGAGATTGAGAAATGGACCGAGTGATTCCATGCAAGATGTAGTTTTGCCAACATGTTATGTCTTAAGGTGTTCAGATTACTAGTTTTTTTCTCTAATTTGAATTATGTTTGTATACCCATAGTTTGTACAGATGGCAGCCCTCATCTTCATTTTCCTACTGTTTCCTTATGTAGTTTACAGCTTACTAACCTGATCTTGGGGTCTCAGTTTCTTCTATCATTATTTGCTGCTAATTTCTGTGTCCATTTGAGAAGAAACAAAATAAACTTCCTTATACTATATCTCCAGGACCCAAAGTTACACTTTTATAACCCCATTTCATCTTATTGTCCACACAGGCACCCATAAAGAGCATTCTTTCCCTGCGAAGAGCTTCTGTTATCCTCCGCTCGCAAGAGAACCATCCTCTAGCAACAAGACTGCTCAGCACACAAGCATCAACCACTCCTCCCACCCCACAAGCCCCTCCTCCACCCCCACCTCCCGAGAAAACCCACTTTGGCGGCCTCAAAGACGAAGACCGAATCTTCACAAACCTCTACGGCCTTCACGACCCTTTTCTCAAGGGCGCCATGAAAAGAGGCGACTGGCACCGGACCAAAGACCTTGTCCTCAAAGGCACCGACTGGATAGTCAACGAGATGAAGAAATCCGGCCTCCGAGGCCGTGGTGGCGCCGGATTTCCATCCGGGCTCAAATGGTCCTTCATGCCCAAAACTTCCGACGGCCGTCCGTCATACCTCGTCGTGAACGCCGACGAGAGCGAGCCCGGGACTTGCAAGGATCGTGAAATCATGCGACACGATCCACACAAGCTGTTAGAAGGCTGCTTGATAGCTGGCATGGGAATGCGTGCTCGTGCAGCTTACATCTACATACGCGGCGAGTACGTGAACGAGAGGATTAACCTCGTGAGGGCTCGCCAGGAAGCGTATGAAGCCGGACTTCTCGGAAAAAACGCTTGCGGCTCGGGTTATGATTTTGATGTGCACATTCATTTCGGTGCCGGGGCTTACATATGCGGCGAGGAGACTGCTCTCCTCGAGAGCCTCGAGGGCAAACAGGGAAAACCGAGGCTTAAGCCTCCTTTCCCGGCGAACGCGGGCCTCTACGGCTGCCCGACAACTGTCACGAATGTCGAGACGGTCGCAGTCTCGCCTACGATCCTGAGGCGCGGGCCTGAGTGGTTTTCCAGCTTCGGGAGGAAAAACAATTCTGGGACTAAGCTGTTCTGCATCTCGGGGCACGTGAACAAGCCGTGCACGGTTGAAGAAGAGATGAGTATTCCTTTGAAGGACCTTCTCGAGAGGCACTGCGGTGGGGTCCGCGGGGGTTGGGATAATCTGCTGGCGGTTATACCGGGAGGCTCGTCTGTGCCTTTGCTCCCAAAACATGTGTGTGAGGATGTGTTGATGGATTTCGATGCGCTCAAGGCCGTGCAGTCGGGTTTGGGGACTGCGGCTGTGATTGTGATGGACAAATCGACTGATGTTGTGGATGCAATTGCTCGGCTGTCGTATTTCTACAAGCACGAGAGCTGTGGGCAGTGCACGCCATGCAGGGAAGGTACGGGATGGCTGTGGATGATTATGGAGAGGATGAAGGTTGGGAATGCGAAATTGGAGGAGATTGATATGCTGCATGAGGTGACGAAGCAGATAGAGGGGCACACGATTTGTGCGCTTGGGGATGCAGCTGCCTGGCCGGTGCAGGGGCTTATTAGGCATTTCAGGCCAGAGCTCGAGAGGAGGATCAGAGAGCGGGCGGATAGGGAGCTGCAGCAGGTGGCCGCTGCTTGATTCGTCTGAAAAAAAGGTTGGACGGTAGAGTAGCAAAGTGTGTTCTTGTATGTTGGATTTCCTTTTATTTTCTTCTTTTTTTTTTTCAGGTATGAACTATTTTTCAATTTTCACTTGGTTAGCTTATAACCTTCCTTTATTCAAATAAACTTCGTTTTGGTAGGACTGACTTTTTTAAAAAGCTCAAGTTTTTTTTTATAAGTTTATTTGGGTAACTTTTCAAATAAGCTCGTTGAAATTAGCTAATTTTACCAAACACTTATATCATATAAGCTAGCTTTTCAGGTATAAGTCATAAGCTATAACCTCGAAAATCACTTAAAAGCTATAAGCTAGTTTATGAGCTATCAGCTAGTTCATAGTAGTTTTTGTATTTTTCGCTCTACTTTTCATCAGCGACTTCAATTTTCTTTGAATGCAAGGATTATCTTCATGGGATTCTTATTTGATGCATTTTTTAAGCTGGGTGTTATATCTGGACAATCTCATGTGCTTAGCTGACTAGAGGCGTATCATTATTAATAGAAAACAACATCCGTTGAGCAAGTTTTGTTTGCTTTTTTTTTTTCTTTCTTTCTTTCAATTATTTCATGAGTTGTGCGAAGTTCTCAAGCTGACAAATTTTCTGTTTAAGCCTTATAATTGTACATCTTGCTAATTATATTTTGACACCTCTCGCTTTGTAGGGAGCTGTATACACTGTTAGATTCCTTTGAATAAAGTGGACACACATTTCGGATCCATTTTCTCTGCTGCAAGTTCAGCTTTTGACGCTGGCGTGTGGATGCACTAAGATTCTACTTCCGATATGTTTTATAGTTTGACTGGTTTATGTAAAACGGTGTAAGATGGGAATTCGCCTCACCAGGAATTTTTTTTGTCCCTTGAATGACTTTTTTTTCTCTGTGTCTTTTTTGCTGTATTGTTGATGATAACCTTTTGAATCTGTTTATGTTTAATAATAATGTGTACCATTACAGTTCTTCCTTTGTTGGCAAGAGCAAATGTTGACTGAATATTTGTTGTATTGCTGTGTTGGAGTTTTATTTTATTTTATTTTAGTTTCAATTTTCTATATTGTTCAACTTCAAGAAAATGGGCCTTGCATCAATTTCCTTTCACAAGTTTTATGTGTGAAAACAGAGGAACTATCAGATTGTGCCCAATGAGTATGCTAAAGTTGTGTTTTCTTTTTTTGTTTTTTGGACTACAAACAGTTATGTATAGGGTCAAATATTCACATATTGTGTTGATACTGGTGTCATATTTTTGTCTAATATTTAATTATAGTTTTGAAGTTTATGCCTTTTCTTAGTGGTCTCATATTTTAATCTCATATTTAGTTATAGTTTTGGAGTTCATGAGAAAACCTTTTCTGAGAGGGTTTTTTTAGCAAAAGAATAATGATAGATGATGAACAATACGAGACACTGTCCATCTCATTCAATTAGTATCGACATGTATGAAAGTTTATTATCAAACTCATTTTATATTTTTCTTGCTAAAAAAAAAAAACTCATTTTATATTTTATTGAATCAAAACTGAAAATACTTATGTGATTTTTACCAATGTCTTTTGACCCAAAACGGACCCAACTCCAAGTCAACAACACGCAATCTAGCAAAACCTGGGGCGACTCAGCCGGAGCATTGATTCTCTCGGGTCAACCTAGTTTGATTCGATAATTTTTTTCTTTTATTTTAGAAATAAATTTATATGTATGTTTATATGGGTAAACATTTATGACGAACTATATGGGTACGAATTATAACATTATTAAGATTTTGAGCTGTAAATTTTACATATAATACTTTTTATTATTTTATATATATTTATATTAAACTAATAAACTATATATACTTTTAAAATTTTTAAATTAAATTAATTGTCAGATTAAAAATTGACCTTATGACCCGATGGTTGAGTCGGTCTCGGGAGGCCTACCTGGGTCATTAATCGGTGCCGGGTTCAAAGGTATATATATACATGAATTTTTAGCCCATCAAAGGTATATATCTTATTGGGCCAATTGCCCGTGTAATGTGGGCTCATGAGCCCATCTAATTTATATTCTTCTCCTGAATTCTGTAATGTATTGCAAGAAAATGTCTTCCTCTTTCTTTGTACTTTCAGAAAATTCCTCCGATTAAATATTCATCCTCAGCAATTTTTCTGCTTAAACTGCATAAATCAGGTAACAAGACAAACTTCTCAGCTGATTTTATGCATTGCTATGGTTTTATTCTAACGTATGCTACGATTAGGGTTTGAGCTCCACTGGTCCAGCATTGAAATCCATTCTGTAGTTTGAAATTAGGTCTTCTTTTTTCAGGACCCAACGAGTGCTGCAATCAACTTTGATTGAACCAGAACGGTATTTTGATTATTTCTCTTTCGTTTTTTCTGAAGTATAACGCTGTGAACTGTCGGAATCTTTTTTCGTTTTTACAACACTTGGTGTACTTCGAAGCGATAATTTAGGGAGTATGTTTTTGTTCTTTTTCATCATTTCGAGCAAGAAACTGTGTAAAAGCTTTTGTCTTGACGTATGTTCTTACATGTACTTGTAGTTATGGTGGGTCTTTCTCTTGGAGAGCAAAATTTTATAAAGGGTGGAATTGCGCAGGATTTGCGTACTGATGGTCGTAAGCGATTAACTTACCGTGGAAACTGGTGTCATTCCTCAGGTATAATAAACGGCTTACTTACTTCGCATTTGCATCTGGTAGATTTTATGCTTATTAATCTATTCTTGTGATGAAATCCGAAAAGGCAAGTGGCTCAGCAAGAGTGAAGCTCGGGGCAACGGACGTTATAGCAAGTGTGAAGGTATTGCCTTTCTCCGTCGAACAACAAATGTGCATCTCGCTTTGAGATTTGGTTGGGTTGCATTTGTTTTTCTTGGTAATCTGGGAACAGTTTATTTTGTCACATGACATTCTTTGGATTTTTCGGAACTTGGACCAACATTTTATGTATTTCCCTTGCAGGCTGAGCTTGGAAAGCCAAGTGCATCTCATCCTGATAAGGGGAAGGTTTCTATATATGTAGATTGCAGCCCGACGGCTGAGCCAACTTTTGAGGTTAGATAAGCTTTTGTTTAGTTATGCAAATGAATGTGTGATTTGTAGATAAATTTATTAGTTGAATTTACGTAAAATACTGGATTGACTGAGCAGGATGGCAAACTATGAATTGTTGTCAGTTTTTTAGGTAATTTTATTTGAAAACTTTTCTTTAGTTGAGAGGTGTTGACAACTATGGAAGTCGTGATTGGTCATTAAAATAAAAGAGAACCTTGAAGGATATGGGTAGTACATATGGTTTTGTCGCTGAGCTGAAGAACATGAACCACCTGATAGCTAGTTCTTAGTCTTGTTCGCTTTACTATCTGTATCACCTTACTGCTTTACTTAGATATAAAGTATGAACTCATACGTAAAAAATGAACAATCTCTGTTGACTTACTTGAATCTTGAAGTATGTTCCATTTTCCCAACAACATTTCGGTGCTCTACCAAATATCTCCTGCTTGTTTTCCATAATTCCATCAAATAAATGAATTCCAATTATCTAAATATTACCTTTGTTATCCATTTTTATTGTTATTTTTATTTCTTTTTGTCACAAGTTCCCTTGATCCTTCAATCACAGGGCAGAGGGGGTGAGGAATTAGCTACTGAGCTCTCATCCGCACTTCAACAGTGTCTTTTGGGAGGTAAAAGTGGGGCAGGTATGAGTGCAAAACATTTCGATGCTTAGTTAAGTTGCACGCTACGTAATTATATTCCATGATGATGCCACATATTTTTGTTGTATGTGATTTTTGCTTGCAGGAGCTGGGACTGATCTCTCATCTCTATCCATTGTTGAAGGAAAGATCTGTTGGGATCTGTATATAGATGGTCTCGTTGTCAGCTCAGATGGTAATATACTCGATGCCCTTGGAGCAGCCATCAAGGTATTGTGTTTTACTTCTTATGCTTTCATTTACTGAATTCAAGAGATTACTAAACTGCGTTTTACATTTTACATGTATTATGTATATATCTCAAATTTCTTCAAGTATCGACATCAGTAGTATTCTGTTTGGGCAAGAAATATTTCCATTAGGTCTGTTTTTTTTATTCATATTTTTTCTTTTTTCTTTTTCTAGGCAGCCCTAAGCAATACAGCTATTCCAAAAGTCCAAGTTGCTGCTAATGCCCCTTCTGATGAGCAGCCGGAGGTTGATGTGAGTGACGAGGAATTTCTACAATTTGACACATCTGGGGTTCCTGTTATAATTACTTTAACCAAGGCAAGACATTTTTTCCCAAATTTTTTTATTACAACAACAACAACAACAACATAGCCTTTAGTCCCAAATTTTTTTATTATTATAATAATAATATTTTTGCATGTAACTTTTACATGTGTAATCAACTATTACATATTGTAGGTTGGGAGGCATTACATTGTAGATGCAACTACAGAGGAGGAATCCCAAATGAGTTCGGCTATCTCGGTTTCTATAAATAGGCAAGGGCAAATATGTGGGCTGACGAAAAGAGGAGGTGCGGGCCTCGACCCAAGTGTCATATTGGACATGATATCTGTTGCTAAACATGTGAGTGAGCAGCTGATGAACAAATTGGATTCGGAAATAGCTGCAGCCGAGGCCTGTGATGAGGATGATGATGACATGGAGTCTTAGGGGTGCGAATGCGATAGATTGGCCCTTTTAGTTTTTTTATTTCTGTTTTGCCTTTTTTGTACCTTTTAATGGGAGATGTGGTGTTCTGCATTCTGTTCTCTGAATACCGGATATAGGTAGTTAAAAACTTTTGTTCGAAATTTCGTATCTTGGAAATTTAAAGATGTGTTCATTGGGATTTTAGGTTCAATTTTCATGTAAACAATTTATGGGTTTAACGCTTTTGCTCGTTTGCAACACGGTGCTGTGTTTACTGAATCTTTTGTGATGAGCAAATGTTGACTGATTCTTTGTTGTATTGCTTTGTTGGAGATTTTTATTTTATTTTAGTTTCAATTGTCTATATTGTTCAGCTTCAAGAAAATGGGCCTTGCATCATTGCTTTCCACAACTTTTATGTGAGAAAATAGAGGAACTAAGAAGAAGAAGAAGAAGAAGAAGAAGAAGAAGTATAGAATGAGATTACCAAACTAGCCTTTCCTTTCTCACTCCCGGGTCTTTATTATGTAGACAGTGAAGGTGGGCGACTTAAAGGCACCCGATTCTCGGTTGGCTTTGGTTCGCCATATGCTTATGGTGTTTTGGACAATGGGTATGTTCCTTTTAGTTTTGTTTCGTTGCTTTGTCCGAGTTTTTTAGTGACTACCAAAGAAAGTAACTCCGAATGGTTTCAAATGAACAATTAACACATGAATTAGAGATTATCTGTCCATTGGCTATACTGTCAGTTATTATCTAACTAAACCCTTATCATACTCATATACTGTCTTTTGTAGATACCGTTTTGATATTAACTGAGGAGCATCTCGTACGCGGATCCTATGGTCTGATGTTGGTGTTGCAACACATTGGTCATAGAGGCTAATATGTAGAAGCGAGCCATCTCATCATCCTTGAACCACTTCTGATACGCCTCTTTCTCATGCTCACGAGCGTTCCCGTCTAGGAAATCCTAACAGACCTCAGTGAGCACGAATTTGTGCCCCTCTACTATTAGCACTATGTCTAAGTTCCGTCTCCAATCAGTATAACTGGGACTAGTAAGTTTATTTTATTTTAGAATCATAGACAACGAATTGAAAGACACGTTGAATATAGCCTGAGAATCACAAAACATTTTATTAATTAAAAAATTTAAATTTAACTTGTTAACATTGATATCATCACAACAATATTAACTTAAATTTACCGACATCTCAAAACACCAAGAGTTCGTGCATGCCGCGACAGACGATTCTACGCTCGATCTACACTTGTAAAAGAATGGTTTTTCAAATACCCATTAACTTTCATAAGCCAAATCCCAATTCATGAGAATAAAATTAATAGTCGATCTTCTTTTGGCCACATAACAAATGTACATCGACTCCGGTGGGGAGGAGTTCTTTTATTACGTTCTAAGTGAAAACCACTTGATCCTAAGGCAACTATTCAATGATTGTACATCCTCAGACGTCGGGGTCCATACGCTAAAAAAAATCGTTCCTATGATCATCATTTTGAAGTTTGTTCTAGTGATCCAATAAATTTTGATAGTGTCCCTGGATGGCGAGGTCCAGGTCGCCATTAATTATATCACCACAAATCGGTAATGGAGGCCTTAGGATTCTTTTAAATTAATTTTAATTTTAAAATTTCCTTCTCAACTTAGTATTTTTAAAGAGGATTTTTAATTATGGAATTCTATAATTAATTACATGTCATAAAGCAACAAATTAATTAATCATTCATATGGACATAATTATATATTGAAAATAAATCTACTATTATGACCATTAATTAATGAATTATAGTGGATAAGGAAAGTATCAAAGAAAATCAATTGATTTTCCTAATCCACATAGAACTCCCACTGCAGTAGAACTCCAGTCCAAGATTACTGCCTTGCCCAGAAATCTTCACACACCATGCCCAAAACAACCCCCACTGTCGGCCAGAAGTCGCCTTGGTCGCCGCAGTGAAGTTGTCGGAGAGAAATTTTCGCCAGGCAATCGCGAGTGCACAGTCGAGCCGTGCTCGCGCTCAGCACGTTCGCATGTCGCGGCCAGCGCATCGCACGTCTCGCGTGCACGCGGCCAGCACCTGCGTGTGATCATCGCGCGGCCAATCGTGGTGCTTGACGGGTTTCACAGCCTTGTTCAATGCACGCACAACCTGGAGTGCCGCCATGCTCCGGTGCAAACTGAGAGCCTCACCTTACTCTCAGGGTCGCTGTCGCGCCATGCGTGACACCCTGCTCATGTGCTTTCTCAGCGCTGTCGAGCGCATACATCCTCTCGCTAGTTAAGGGAGTCCAAAATCATTGCAGAATTCAACAAGTTAAGGCACAATGGTTCATATGATGAATATGTGGATAAGTTTGAGGAGCTCAAAGCATGTATGCAGATCATGAATCATTACTCCGAGGAGTATTTTGTGGCCAGTTTTATTAGTGGGCTAGGAGAGGATTTGCAAGCTTTTATCAACATGTTTGGGCCAACTAACTTGCAACAAACCATTGACCTTGGGAGGAAACAGATCTTAGCCCTTGAGGCAATTGCAAAGAAAATGAGACCAAACACTAAAACACCCTTGGGAAGTCAAGGAAACTTTAGGAGATATGATAACCAAAACACCAACCAGATTCCCAAGCCAATGACCACTAAAACTGGAACCAAAATGCTCACATCTGCAGAAATGGCAGCAAGAAGGGAAAAAGGATTGTGTTACAACTGTGATGAAAAGTTCACCTATGGGCATAGGTGTAAAAACAGGATCAGCTACATGATAATGACTGAAGAGGAGGAGCTGGCCTATTTACAATTGGAAGAAAAGGTGGACTGGCAGGAGGATAGGGGGGAAAACATGGAGGAAATACAAATGTCTCTCAATGCAATCACAGGTGAAGATGGCATAACTACCATGAGGCTCTTTGGTACATGTGAAGGGCAACAGCTGCACATTGTTATTGATATAGGCAGTACACTAAGCTTCATTCAAGAATCTACTGCCAAACAATTGGGTTGTACATTAATGGATGCAAAACCCTTACTGGTGAAAGTGGCAAACGGGCAGAGGCTGGTGAGTAGGAAGGTTGCTGAGAACTTTACCTGGGATGTACAAGGTACCACATTTACCTATCCTCTCAGGAAACTAAAGAATGAAGGTTGTGATTTAATTTTGGGGGGTGATTGGTTAAAGTCATGCACCTTAATTGAGCTGGACTACAATCATATGACCATCACAATCACTTTGGGGGGCAAAAGGGTGAGAATGCAGGCCCTCCCTTCTTCAACAACATGCCAAATGATCTCAGGACCCACCCTTTTCAGACTAATACATTCAGATTTAGAGGATCAAATTGAAGAAATGTACCTGTTGACTCACAAGGATCCAAAGGACAGAAACTGCCAGGACTTGGAAAATCTGCTACATGAATGCTCAATGGTTTTTGAGGAGCCACAAGGATTACCTCCCAACAGGGAGGTTGAGCACCAAATTGTGCTAAAACCTCATGGGGTTCCAAAGCATCAATACCCCTATAGGGTTTCTCATGATCAAAAGGCAGAGATAGAGAAGATCATCAAGGAATTATTAAAGACAGGAGTCATCCAACACAGCCAAAGCCCTTTTGCATCCCCAGTCCTTCTAGTAAAAAAGAAGGACTCCACTTGGAGACTCTGTGTTGACTATAGGTACCTAAATAACTTAACTGTGAAGCATGAATACCCCATTCCTGTGATTGAAGAATTACTAGATGAGCTGGGGGGGCCCAATTCTTCTCTAAAATTGATCTCAGGTCAGGCTATTTTCAAATAAGGATGAAACCAGAACACATGTATCTTACAGCTTTCAACACTCATCAAGGGCAATATGAATTTTTGGTTATGCCCTTTGGCCTATGCAATGCACCTGCTACCTTTCAAATTTTGATGAACAGAGTGTTCAGTGAGTGCCTGAGGAAGTTCACTTTGGTGTTTTTTGATGACATCTTAATTTATAGCACAAGTTGGGAGGACCACTTGGGAAACTTGAGGACAGTTTTGGAGATATTAAAAGGGAACCAACTCTATGCTAAGAGGAGCAAATGTCAGTTTGGGCAGAGGGAGATTGAGTACTTAGGGCACATAATAACTTCAGAAGGTGTCACCACTGATCCCTAGAAGACTGAGAGCATGGTGAACTGGCCAGTACCTAAAAACCCCAAACAACTCAGGGGGTTTCTAGGACTCACAGGGTATTATAGGAGATTTGTGCAAGGATATGGCACCATGAGCAAACCCCTCAGTAACCTTTTAAAGAAAAATGCTTACAAGTGGAGTGAAGAAGCTGAACAGGCTTTCCTCAAATTGAAACAGGCCATGACCACCACACCAGTCTTGGCCCTACCAGATTTTACATTGCCATTTGTAGTGGAAACTGATGCCAGTGGGGTTGGTGTAGGGGCAGTACTGATGCAGAAGGGTAGGCCCATTGCCTACTTGAGTAAGTTATTGTGTCTTAAGAATCAGGGATTATCCATTTATGAGAAGGAATTTCTTGCAGTACTGATGGCTATACGGAAATGGAGACACTATTTACAGGGGCATAAGTTCTTAGTTAGGACTGACCAACAAGCTCTCAAGCACTTATTGGACCAAAAAATCATGAATCCTATGCAGCAGAAGTGGATAACTAAACTGTTGGGGCTTAATTATGAGATACAATATAGGAAGGGAAAGGAAAATAAAGCTGCAGATGCCCTCTCAAGAAAGGAACAACATGCTGAGATTAGTTATGAGATCACCACACTTACTCCTAGCTGGGTTCAACAAGTGGTAGACAGCTATCATGATGACCCTTTGTTTTCAGAAATCATGAAGGCACTGAAAGAGAACACTGGCCAACCAAAGGGGTATGAACTAATAGAGGGACTCATCAGATATCAGGGAAGAGTGGTTGTGGGCTGCAAACATGGGATCAGGGAGTTGTTACTGGATACAATGCATAACTCTTCTATTGGGGGACATTTAGGGGTCAATGGAACCTACATGAGGCTTAGAAGGGTGTTCTACTGGCCAAATATGAAGAATGATGTGAATACCTGGGTGCAGAATTGTGAGGTATGCAAGATGAACAAACCTGAGCTACGCCTATACCCGGGATTGCTTCAACCACTACCCATACCAGATCAAGCTTGGACACATATTAATATGGATTTTGTGGAAGGTCTCCCTAAGTCTGTGGGAAAAGACTGCATACTAGTGGTGGTGGACAGGTTCTCTAAGTATGGCCATTTTATAGCCTTGTCACACCCTTATACTGCTCAAAAGGTGGCTGCACTTTTCCTAGACCAAGTTTACAAATTACATGGGTTGCCT